TGATTTAAATGGAGCCCTGCAGTACTACATTAACTTAACATTACCCTTTCACCCCCGACAACGACCAAAACTGAGTCTCTCCTTACAAAATTAATACATAAAGTAGTAAACTTTTAACAAGTTTTGTAATAATTAATGGTGGAAGAAAGAAGGAAGATAATTCATTCCTCTTTTAACAACACTACCCTAAAAAAATTATCAAACTCAACTGTACAGGAAACAACATTAAATATTCTACCTGAGTTAGCCCTTTAGGAGTGCTTGTTCTTGAGTTTTCATGTACAGCAATGTACTCAGGATCCTAATAAGATTGAGATTATCACGACATTTATACTTCATTCATCTGTTTACCGGTATATACCACATGAATCGTCTAAATCTACCCTTGATGAATTTAAGATTTTGTGGAGATGAATATCAAACTTCTCACAAATGAAAGTTTCCTAGATAGTGTTTGTCATGTGAAGACATCAAACTTGTCAAACTTGCCATTAATCACCATATGTTGAGTGTTCTCCTTTATACCTCAGTTTTAAATTTGTTACACCACTCCAATTGTGCATTGACAAAGAACAAAAAGATCACCTTCCTCAAGTGTTTCTGAGAACCATGCTCTTTGGCTACAACCAGTCAGGGGTTTCAGCAGTCTATTGCCACCTGTAAGACCTCTGTCTATCATGCCCCAAGACCTCCAAGGGCTCGGTGGGCAGGGGGTGGAGCGGGGGGTGGGAAAGGAGGGAAGGGCTTTACCTGAGCACAGACATTTATCACCCACTGGCAGCTGCTTATAGAAAAAGTTATTGAAACCTTCAAGACCAGTACACCTGTTTGCCTTCTGGGATGATGCTGACAATTTTTGAAGCTAGTTACTAGTTAAACAAAACAAACTTGCACCTGCAGGCTCAACCTTGCAAGATCCTGTATTGATCTGCAACCAAGAGAATAAGATCATTGCTTGTTGAAATACTATAAAGTACTTTAGACAAGTTTATATTTCTCCTTTGAAAAACATCTAAACTTGTACCTTTTTTCACTCAAATCTTGATGTTTAATTCAAATTTTATAATCAAATTGTATATTCATGATCTCTATGAGGAAAAAGTATGTGACCAATACAGTATAAATAATATGTATAATACTTGTATAATGATTACTGCTAAGGCAGTATTCGTATCATAAAACCAAAACCAAAATAATGTCAGCTGTTAGGGACAGTTTGCCCCTCTGGTCCCCACTTGTGCAGATCACATGACCTTAGCGACCATGTGCTCAAATCGTTGTGCATTGTTTGTGTGTAGTAAGGTTTGCTTTTTTTGTCTTTTGATGTTGATGTTTGGTTTAGCTTGGAGATGGCCAAAAATATGTAAGTTGTCGCTTGTGTGTTATTCTTTTTCTTGTAATTCAATAATTGTTTCAGTTCCGAGTCTAGCTTTCTGTTTTATGTAATTTGTAGCTGTACCGAATGAGAAGATCGTGTTCAGATTAAACATCTCCAGTTCACAACATTTAGTCTGAGATTATCTTCAACATCAGCAACCAATCAGAACAAAGGTTACATTATCATTAGCCAATGAGAGCTCAAAGTGAAAACAATAACCACCTTGCCGTTGTTCTTAATTTTGCATCTGATTGGTTGAAAGGATGGAGTGAATTTTCTGGACCAATCACAGAAAAAAGTTTAGGAAAACCTAAGCAATCCTGGATTATTTTTGACACATAATTGAAAATTGTTCTCAAATTTTGATTGTTTTAGGAGTATGATGATTAAAATGTGCTGTACATATGTTCATTAAAGGAAAATGTAAATTTAAGTGGGGAAAATTCCAAGAGAGGAATTTCACTTGCCTTGTTTGGGTTGCTGAGTAAAGCATGGTCTGTCTCTCTTCTGGAAGATTTTCTATAATGGCATTCAATGTAGCAGCAAAACCGAGATCTAGAATTCTATCAGCTTCATCCAAAACTAAAATGGTGAAACAAACAAAAGATGAAGATTTAATACAAACAATGGTTATTAGCCAGTAGCCTGCTTTTATTGAAACCCCAGGTCATTAACATATCAGTTTAAATGAATTTTCAATGTAGACTGTTTGCAACCAGCTTATTTAGAATGCAGAAAGGCAACTTACTGATCCAAAAAGCATAAAACATAGTGCTACATATCAGTACTACTACTACTACTAGTAGTAATAATAATAGTACAAAATCAGCTAGGAAAATTTAAACAGACAACTTTCTCTCTCACTCAGCTCTCCAACATGTAACTGGGCATAAATACTATCTGATACTCTCAGATTGTCTAAGTGAGAAACTGTAGTTATAAAAGGGACCATGAAGCTATTTAACAAAAATTGGCACCGAAAACAAGAGAGAAAGAAACGTTGGACTTAATTTTTGTTTCTGTTATATCAACACTTTATCTTGTTGAGATTTCATTACCTAGGACTTGCAAGGAGTTGCAGGAAAAATTTGGTGTCTCATCCATGTGCTGGAGAAGTCGTCCAGGTGTGCAAACCACTATGTTTGTTCTCCTTATTCTTTCCTGCTCATGTTTTAAATCCTTGGAAAAAGTAAGTACATTTTTAGGGCAAATAATTTTATTAAGAGTGATTAAAAATATTAAAAATTATTGCACGACTCAGGCAGTCAGAGGGCCAATAACTAAAATCAACAAAGCAAAATGCTCTATTACTGGTTAATATTCTCTCAGTATTGGACCGAGCACTGTCCCGAATGGTCCTGAATGATACCCCACTTGTGTTCCTTTGAACTTCAGTTGTATAATAAATCTCTTATTAACCAAGCTTGCTTGGGACCGTACTAAAAGAATATCTGCCCTTGCTCTTTTTTGTATGGACCGCTCGGTCCGTACTGTCAAGACCTCAGGCCAATATTCTCCCACTACGGCCCTCGCGCTTGGTTAATAAGATATATATATTCACCTTTCCTCCTATGATAAGACCAGCTGAGAGATCATGTTTGCAGCCAATCTTGCATAAGACTTCAAAAGTTTGATATGCCTACATACAAACAAACAAATCTCCATCATACAAGTACAAGTAATAAACAAAGAGTGTGAACTGAATCTTGGATTAATTATATATTTTTTACATATACAAATGTGTTTGAATTGAGATGTTGTAGCTTTAATATATAATTTGTTTTACCAATGGGCTTAAAAGCTTGCAAGGTAAGGTATAACTGTCTAAATTGCTACTTGCATATTGATTTGACAAAGTTCTTCTTGTATTGTTTGCATAAATTTCCAGTTGAAGTGATCAAATAATACAGATATGGTACAAAAAATGAAATTCAAAATAACTGGCATGTGACATTGTTGGTATTCTCCTACTCACAAGTTCACGTGTGGGAGAGATTATAAGGGCTCCTAAACCATCAACCGATGACCACTGCTGCCTCCATAATGCTTCAATTACCTGATAAAATATTTTTAACGATTTAACAATATCAAAACATGGCTAAATTTTCCACCAATTAAAATTGCATCAAATAATGTTAAAAGGCATTGTAAACTTACTGGAATAAGAAAAGCTAAGGTTTTCCCTGAGCCAGTTTTGGCTGCTCCCAGAACATCATGGCCTTTTAATGAAACAGGTATTCCAGCCTTTTGAATCTCAGTTGGAATCAGATAGCCAGCACCTCTCAGGCCTTACAAATGAAAACAAAAATGAAATAGTTTGGAGAATATTTTCAGTGAAAAGAAAAGACTACTGTAAATGTGATCTTGAAAACAATATCTAATGGGAGTAACTACTATGAAGCAATGCAATACCTTGAAGTGTTCTTTGTGAGAGAGGTAAATCAGAAAACTTTGACAAGGCAGCTGAACCATCAAGCTAAAGTAATAAACACAAGTAGCAACAGTCAAATCACTACAATCAGTAATGAAAAGTTTGAGGTTCCACCACAAATTGAGCCCTAACCTGCATGGCTGGCACTTGCACTTGTAGCTAAGAGCCGAATGGTAAAGCCACAAGAGGTTGAAAAAGAAAATAGTTTTCCCACTCGAGGGTTCAAATGCAATACTCATCAATTTTGGTTCCATTTGGTTTTAACTCAAACTTTAGCACCTGTTTTTATTTATTTTCATTGCTTCCTAAATCATTGGTGCTATGTTGCTAATTGGATGGCCTGGGAAAAAATATCTTGTCACCTGTGAAACTTGGTCGTATTTGTTTTCAAGCAGATCTTGGGCAGTCTGCTCATTAATCTTAGTTTAAGTTGATAATGAATACTGATTTTCAGGCAATAAAGAAGATGGACGGCTTTTAGAATTTTGCACTATACATACTATGATTGCACAAGTGTGTTTCTTGTTGTATATCATTAATATTATCATTATCACTATTATTATTATTATTGTTATGCCAACTATTAGAACATTATTATTTTTTTTTGCAGACACTGACACAGAAAATTATTTCAAGATCTTATCAAAGGGAAATAAAACTGAATTCCGTCGTTAGATGACTAATTAAAGGAGGGGTGAGGATAACACCGAGGAGAAAATATAAATTCATCTCGTTTACTAGTCGTTCAAAGCCTTTAAACACAACAATTTAGCAGTTTTACTGTGACATACTTTGATTTTTTCCTGACAAATTGTTTAAACATTAATCACAAATTGTTAATGGTACGCTCTGTATGCTCAAATGATATTTAAACGCACATCAAACTGAAGCACGTGTTTTGATTGAAGTCTAGTGAAACGAAAGCCCATATGGAATATTCGTTAAATCTTGATGAACCAACCATCATAACAACAACTCACATTTCTGCAGCGATCCTCCAACTCTTTAATTTCTTCGTCTTCTTTTGTCCGTGATTCTTTGCGTCGTATCCGGCGATATTTTTCAGACTTCTTCCATCGTAACTTCCTAACTTCTTTAACATCCGCCATATTGCTTTGTAGCCTCCCAGAGGTTAAATCGCTCGGCTTGGCTCGGTTACCAAGTTCGTGTATACTGAGTGTCACCTGACGGGAGTCAATTTAATTTTCTGTTTCGGCAGAACTCTTTCCTGTTTTAAAGATCTTATGTGGTTTCTCGAGATTGCTCTGGGCACAAAATGGCTTGTGGTGCAGCTGGTCAGGAAATGAAGGCTACTGAAGAAGTGCAAAAGATTGTCGACGAGGTTTGTTTAGAATTCGCAACTATTAGCAAGTGCGTGACATATCTTCATTAAATCATACATCGCAATTAAGCAATAGCTCGTTTCCTCTCGCCATTAGTACTTTGGCTTGAATTTGTCTCGCCAAAATACAAAGCAAGGCTCGACAATATCCGCTTGATATACAGATTTACCACCGAAATATCATTGCCCATAAGTTAGAATTTGGAAAAATATTCGAAGTTTGGCTGAAATTAACAAAGTTATGCTGCAGTTAAAAATTAATCTGGACTTTGGATTTTAAATCCCGAATCCAACGAGTTTGGGAGCTGTGATGGGCCTGTCAACTATGTTCACCATCAAAGCAACTTAACCTATCCATTGTTCCAAAATTCTCTGCGCCCTTTCCCTAGGCCTCTTCATCAAAAAAATTTCGGTCCACAATTTCCTGCAGACCTTCTTCTTTTGTAGGCGCATGTTGGGACACGTTTTGAAGCCTGATCATAGTGCACCTCAGTGGGAGGACAAAGTCCTGGGCTTTATCTAAAACAAGTAACCCTCTATGCAGAAAAGTCTCGGGTTTGTTCCAGAATTTCAACAAAAATTGCACACCAATCCAAAAAGACTGCTTGCATTTTTTGCTTAGAAGCAAAATATAGATGCATCAGGAAGGAAAAAGCTACAAACTCCAACCAAAGATTTTCCTTGCAAAAACCAATCCAAAAGATGGCCAAAACAGCATAACCAGAAATTCCAATACCCCCATCCTCACACAATGTTGGGTTGGATCTCATCATGGATCATGTTATATTAAAGGTTGCAAAGGAGATCATCACTCGTATTGCTTTCTCTGCTTCAGTGCATTCCTCCAGATGCAGGTCTAATGCAACAATTTTTTTTTTCAACGTATGAATTCATAGATTTGTCATTTTAAATCAGGTACACCGAGAAGTAATTGTTGATAGTCTTCCAAAGGTCAAGATGGCTCCCAAACTTGTTTCTCAGAAAGTTGGTTATTTGAAAAATGCAGAGAACATTTGGGCAAGGTTGAATTTATGAGTGAATCTCTGAGTGAATAAGTCAATTGATGTTGACCATTCCTTAAATTTGGAGCTTGTTTGAAGCCATATGCAAGGTTTTTCTCAGAGGAGCACTTTTGAATGATCCAATAGGCCATTTTACAGTTGTGTACTTAGTTGCCAAGCCTTTGATTCAGAGTGAGGCTAAAGATGACCTTGTTGTGATAGAGACCTGTATCCAGTTACCATGATAACAAAGTGATTTACATTTGAAAGGCAGCAAGGTTTGTATCATAACAAGGTCATCCCTCGCCTCACTCCCGTTCAAAGGCTTGGCAACCAAGCACACAACTGTAAAATGGACTATTCAGTCAGATTTATTTTCATTCAAATTCTAATATAAAACCTTGAAATTTTGAGCCAATTTGTCCTAACTAACCTTTGTACACAAACTGCATACTTGACTGAAGGTGCTGGTATAGAGATATGGAAGATGTGTTACCAATAAAAATAATGAATACATTTTAAAAATCTCTGGTACTTTTTTTTTTAGGTGAAGAGCCAAGCCGAAGCAAAAGCTGGTACAACATTCAATGAATTTAAAGCCATTTCTTACAGAGTTCAAGTTGTAGCTGGTCAAAATTACTTTGTGAAGGTTTGTATTTGGTAATTGTAGAGGTCCCATGCAATGTAAAGGTTTTCTAGGCTTATCTAAGGATAATCTCCCCTTGGTTTTTCAGGTGAAAGTGGGTGACTCTTCTTATATTCATTTGCGCATTTATCAAACTTTACCGCACGATGGATCAAGACTTGAGTTAACAGCCATCAAGACTGGATTGTCAGAGGGAGACAGCTTGGATTACTTTTAAATTTACTTCACAATGTAGCTTTATTGACCAATTAAAGTAACAGTAATTTAGCTAGGCACCAAAGCATGTCAGAGTATAATTATAATTTTTTCTTAATTTGATGTACCTTTTTATAGTTGATTGCACTGTATGCTTAACAGGTCACAGGACCTCATAAAATAAATTTGACATACTTTTACTTCTTAATGAAGATGGAATACCACAAACATTTACAAATAAAGGACTACATTAACTCTCTTCCTTAAGTTATCCAATAAAATTATCCAAATGAGAAGGACACTTATGTGTTTTGGTAAAAATATATTGGGATTGATAAAAAATGGTAAAGTCTACTCTGAAGCATAGCGGTGGCCGACTCTGCTGGAGCCAGTCTTGGTTTCTGCAGCATGTAACTGAATGGGATACTAGTACATCACAGGTTTCCCTAACAGTTGTTGATTATCCTTCTGTATACTCCTGACTGGAAAGAAGCACTGTGAGCGTCAAGTATCTCACTCAAGGACACAGTGCCATGACCCAGCCTGGTGGCTTGAAAGTGAATCTCTCCACCTGGACTGATGAAGGGTTCAAAATAGTCAATGAATATCTTTTATCCTATCCAGTGAACCTAGTTTAGCAACCACTTAATCTCTGTGGTCAATGATGAAAGGCCTCCTTTACTGGAAATTGTTCCCACTGAGGAAAATCTGATCTAATGGACCTTGTGGAAAACATGTTTATGTTCTCCAGAAAAAGCTGATCAGGCTTTAACCCCAAGCAATTACTCTGAAGGAATCAACTGAAAGAAGAAATGGGACTTTTGCTTTTGTAGGATCAATTAGTGATTGGAAATTGTCCCTTAATTTGTAAGCATTTTTAGTGAGAAACGCAAAGTAATTCTGGTTAGGGTAGCTCAAGTGGTAGAGTGCTGCGATATGCAAGGTCAAGGGTTCAAGCCCTAGACTGGACCAACACTCAGGGTCTTAAAATAGCTGGGGACAAAAAAAACTATAGGTCGCACCTCCTACATCTCTGTACTGATTAACGGGGACATTAACGAACCTACACACTTATTGCAAAGAGTAGGGAATGTAGCTCCCAGTGTCTTAAGGGCACAGACTTAATTTAGAGCAGTGCACTGTTGTGTGTCCCACACCTTCATGGTTCTTGTGACCTTGTTTAAAAGCAATTAAGTAAATAAAGTATGTCTAGCACCCAACACATGTTTTTTATAGAGCAGTTGATAGTAAAATTTAGCTAATATCTAAGACACAAGGGTTTGAACCCCATAAAGACCTGAGTTTTACTGACTTCTTAATTATTTCTCCAATTGAAATTTATGATGAGATGTTATGGGAGCACAGCTTGTTTACCTTTTGTGCCCACTGCTTTATTTCTAAGTCTTGTACACATAGAGCTTCAAGTTTCTTTTAAATTGACCAAGCTTCTGTGGGTTTACTCTGCAACTCAAAACAAAAGAGTAACATACTACCTGGTACCCAAACTGATCTGGAGATTCCACCGCATCAAGCAACTAAGAATATTGCTACTCCCCCTCCCCCCATACTTTCTCTAGAAGTTCAACCAGTAATCTTTGGTAAAAAAGGCTACATCTACATTCTAACCAAGTGGCCCTCAGGGCTCCTTATCTCATCCCAGTTTCTGCACCATGAAGTCAATAAAACTATTGCTTGGATGGGATGGTAGTCCATTATCAGCTACCCCCCTCTCCCCAGGCTTCCCTGACAGTTTGCACATACCAGTCTATACCCCCTGGATGGAGAGAGACAATGTCTAAGTAAAGTGTCTTGCTCAAAGATACAACACAATGTGCCAGCAAACTTATAAACCTAAACCTCCTAACTCCAAGTCCAGCATATTAATCACCATTAGGTCACAGCACTGTAGTAGTGTAAAAATCTTCTTGCCCAATTACCTAGCTGTTCTTCCAGCTCAATGAATGCATGTGTTTGCATCCTCTGGACAGTCTAGTTGAACCACCCAGTGAGCTGCAGGAATTTCTGCAGAATAGAAAATAACGGAGTGACCTTCATTACGGCAGACTTTTAAAGGATTGAATAACTATTTTATCCTAAAATACTCACCCAGATCCCTGAGTGCAATATATATCTGTAGCAAATAACACAGCCTCTGTCTTCCTACAGAATTCATTATAAATTGTTTTTGTTTTCTGTGGAGCCAGCAATGAGATTGCAGCACATAGACAATGAAAAGATTCATAATAAATTTTACCTGATTGAAGAAAGAGATGATAAAGAAGTTACGTGACAACTCTTAAAGTCAATTTTTGTGCAGTGCAAAACTAACTTTAACTTGAAGGAGACTACATGATCATTAAGACTTAAAGCAGCCAGGATGGCAACACTAAGGAAGACATTCATCAAAAAATGAATTTAAGTTTTTTGTTAGAATTTTGCAAATGTCTGGAGGTATTTACTGTCTCCCAGGGCACTACATCTCAACTTCAACATAATCTGTGTGAGCTGCATTGAGTTCCAAATGGAAAATTAAATAATTCACTGTCTGAGTTTCCATTTTAGAACAGGCAAATTTTGGTGATATGCATTGCTGTTTTGCAGAAGACAGCCAAGAAGTGTACAAAGTTTTAAAATGCACGTGCTGAGCTTTTTTTCTGCTCATTAGACCTTTTGTTTTGCCACCTCCTTGTTGCTGTCACTACTGTGATTTGCTTATTATAAGGTACCTGCTAGCTCAGTAGGTAAACAATAAAACAAAACCTGTAGCAGACAATAGTAAACTAAAAATAAACTTCCCGTCCAATTTCAGAAATAGTTTGGTCGTTCTCCCATTCTTTTTTTTGTGTTGTCACAAGCCAAAATTTATTTCTGGCAAGACCACCCATCTGGACAGCAATCAAAGGTGTAAATTTCACAGATTTGTCAAGCATACTGTGATTGCAATGATATACACCTGAGGCTCACGGTATTTGCTCTTGCTACAAGTTACAAGATGTATTCAGTCATTTCACAAAGTGTGGAAACTTTACCCGAAACTGTTTTCATACCAGTATGATCTGAGACCCTAATTCTCTTCAACCTTGGTTTGCATATCAAAAATTCACTGCTTTGTAAGAAAGAATTCTCAAAATATACACATTAATCAGGCAAAAATAATGCAAATCAATGTGTTTACTTAATTTCGCTTGTGTCAAAGCTTGCATTTGCATAATTCTGAAAATTGACCAGGAGATCCTTTGGACCATTAAAATACAGAGATATGAGCTCCATTGTGTGCTCCTCAAAACTGATAGTTACAACGGAAAAGAATGAGAAACACTAGGTGTAGTTGTCAGTCTTTCAAGGTAGTATGTAAGGAGAAACAAGTCACCCATTCAAAGATACTTAACCCTTGAAAACTCAAATCCCTGAAATTTTATCTCTCAAGTGGCCAAGATATCTATTACCAGTAGAACATAATAAGCCTTGATCCAAAGGGATTCTTAGTTCTTCTTAGTTGGCCCTGCTTAGAGGCCCTCTAAAAACATGTCGAAAACGAAGTTGATAACTTTATCATTCTAGCATGTCAAATGATCCATGCCCTCTAAAAAGCAATGTCCCCTTTGGGCATATCTTTATTGTGGCTCCGTGGCATCTGTTGAGGAGGGGGCCTTACCACTTCCTGTTTTGATGTTATGGCTGTCGTTTTGACTGCTTTTTCCATTTTATAGGCCAAAAGACTTTGGATTTCCCTTTGGGTGTTCATTGCAACTTGTGGAATGTCTGGTTTTCTCAAAAATACAAATGGGTTTTCACATTTGGTATTCAATGTTCTTTTCTGTTTTTTCTTATTTGGGTTCTGGCTTCTCTTTGGTCTAAGCAGCAATTATATGCCTCTATGATCTCAAATAGCGGTGAAACCTCTATGTGCTCCACTTGTCACCGCTCTATTGATTCGATTAGGGATTTGATACCTGGGATGTGAAAATTTTGTCGGTTTTAATGGTTTTGCACACAGTTTTCCATTTTGATAAAAAATATTTGCAGTTTTGAGGTTTTGGATGATTTTTTTCACAGTTTTGTGGTTTCTAGTAGACCCTAATAACCCCTGGTTGATTGGCATTCATTCACTCAAAGAAGCTTTAATTACAGTGGGTGCCCTTTGTAAATAAAGCCCTCTAGAAACGTGACAAAAACAAAGTTGTTTACTTTGTCGTTCAAAAGTGTCAAACGATATTTTTAGGTAGATAAATACAGATCTTAGTAATCTAGTACACATCTAGGGGTAACTCCTGAGAAAGGTAAGTTTACCCATTTTTCATCCAATTGTTATGAAAACCTAAATACTTTGTGACGGATTCGATTTTAGGGGGTCTTAGTGATACTGCCAAAAGGCGTGCCTTTCGTGGCCGCTTACAGCAATGATTTCAAACGCTCGATCGGAGGGTGAGGTTTGAACTAATGAAGAACCGACAAAAATACAAGTTTTCAAATGTAAAAATATAAAACTGAAAGGCCGCTAAAGCGAACGCGATGAACATAATAACTAGGAACTTACATTGTATCGGCGCTGTAGGCCGCGAAAAAAGGCAACTCTAAGCCAGATGTTCTCTCGGTGAAATCAACGATGAAACTAAAAAGCTACTAGAATATTAACAACATGTAAATTATAGCGAACGCGGGAAAGAAAAACAAAACGTATTCCCGAGGGAATGCTAATAAACTGAAATAAAATGCAAAGAATGCTAAATTCTACACTTAGTTTTCATTATCTCGAAAACTAAGACGGGTCTTACGTCTTACGTCTTAGTTTTCGAGGGTCTTAGTTTTTGTAACACCCCTTAGGTTTTGGCTGTTGTGTGTTAACACTACAAAAGACTAGTGAGAAAGTAGATGCCAGTTTTGAAAATTGACTAGGACATCCTTTTGTCGGTTCAAACTTTGTTTATTTACCTCTCACATTGAGGATTTTATGTTTTCCCAGAAATTTTGGACTTTGCTGTAGATTCTGATCTCCTTCCTTCAAAACATTTCAAAGCATTTGTGAGATCGTAGCTGAGAATGGATCTACTTGAAACACGCAATTAATCGTTAAATCTCCAAGAGCCAACCATGATAACAAAAACTCACGTTTCTGTAGCGATCATTTAACTCTTTAATTTCTTGATCTACTTTCGTCCGTGATTCTTTACTTCGTTTCCGGCGATATTATTCAGACTTCTAACATTGTAACGTCCGCCATATCACTTCCCATCATAGCCTCCCAGTGGTTATCTCGCTCGGCTCGGCTCGGCTCGGCTCGGCTCGGCTCGGCTCGGCTCGGTTACAACTTATGTACGAAATCAGTCGTTTGCCAAACCTCAAGACCTTGGCGGTGTGCGTACTCTGATTGCATTGCATTGTGGTAGCGTTATTTTCAATATGGCGGTAAAAGCGGCGGAAATCGGCAGATTTTGACTGAACATTCCGTAAAAGTTAGGCCAATTATTTTTCCTTTTTCAATAGGTAAATATAATTTGATATATTTTGAATATGTAGAAGTATTTTTCGTACGTATTTGTCGCGTATTCTATCGTTCTCAAGAACAAACGCAAGCGCTGTTTTTAGCATGTAATTTGAAACCGGTTTTAGAGAAGGTCAGATTCGTTGTACGTCGTAGTTTGAAGCCTTTCAAAGATTTATATGGCCACTTTGATCCTTCTTCAACAGCTGTGACCAAACGCGCTCCAATAGTACAAATGTTTTATACATTTTAAATGATAGTGTTTGAGACCCTTTATGGAGCGAAAACGCCAATTGTTGCCTTTAGTGTGTTGCGTTACATAGCGTTACTACTGCAAGGACATTTATTTTATGTACTCAGTCGTGTTGTAAATCTATTTTCCTAAGTGAAGGAAAATTAACTAATCGCGAGTGTTGCATGGTAAATCTTCTGTTTTGATCATTGAATGAAGGACAGTTTAATAAGGGCAATGAAAAGAGTCACTTGATCACGTGACGTGAGGCTACACGCCGGAAAACCGGAAAGCTAAGGGCAGTCAACAGTTGAAAGGTGATGAGAGGCCATTCGCTAGTGCTTTTAAATCTTCTACCCTCAAAGTTTAGCTCTTTTTAGGATAACTCTTGATGACTTTACCGATGCAATGTGTTAATGAGGGTCAGTTTGGAGATGTCATTTCCCCATCCGTACGTTCTTGAGGTTTGGCAAAGCTGGATGAGATTGTGGTACAAAAAGAAATATTTTCTTGTGCGCGCGCGCTATTTTCTTTGTTTTAAAGTATATCTACTTCCCTACTGCAGAAATAAATCCAGAGATACGTTTCTCAAAACGCTCATCTTGGTTTCCTCTATTCTCGAAGGGTATTTTGAAACTCTACGTTTTTACTAAACGCGGAGTATGGGCGGCCGTCACCATAGTAGTCTCCCCGCAGCCGTGATGTTTCAGTCACACAACGCTCCCTCACGGTGTCTGTGAGGGAGCGTTGCGTGACCGAAACATCACTGCTGTGGGGAGACTATCACCATAGCGGAGCGAGACAAATTTGTTCTTAGGAGGCGTGGGGCTTCCTCTTTGACAAATCCCGTATTTACGCTTGAAATCCTCGAGGGAAAAAGTTCGTGTATTACTAGGTTTCTGTCTCTTTAATATGCGTTTGCATGTCAAGGGTCAATTCCCTGTTTTCACATTTGCTACCTCGGAATGAAACGAATTATTTTTGCAGTTTCAGGAGCCAGGACCATTTGGAACTAAGAACAGCCCCAGTTGACATGCAACAAGTTAGAAACGATAGACTTGAAGGTCGTTCCTCGTATGCCCAAACACAACCTCGTTCCCAGGGTCTTTTCCCTTTGTTAAGGGAAAAGGCCCTGGGAACGAGGTTGGCCCAAACACTGACAAAATTGATTCGAAACATTCAGCTGCCAAAATTAACGCAGAAAAAGCAGAAGTTAATTGTTACGAATTAAATTTTGTTTGTTTCAGCATTTACCTTTAATTTTCAATGGTATTTTAACCTTTATTGCTTAAAATTAGATTCAAAGCAATATTTTTCATTAAGTGTTTGAAATGTCACAACTTGAGAGGAGGAGAGCTTAGTTATATACAACGCGCGCTCGAAAGTCGCCTCTGTCATACAATGTTTACATTAGAAATTACCTCAATATAAATTAGGGTAAAATGTAACTTTCAATCTCTTCATCACTGCGAGCGATGTAATAAGGCGTGTTTCTAACGACGAAAGTTGTAAAAAAAGACAACTTCAAAGCGCTCTGGTCGCTAATGTAAAGCAAACTGGATAAAATGGCAGTTATTTTCGAATTCCTGAGGAAAAAGTCTTCTGAGATAAACATTTTCTAGACCGTACTTTCCCTTTAAAGTTGTAGTAGTCAGGGAAGTAGTTTCTTTGGTGACACAGATCATTTAACATTGAAATTGCTCGTGGGCAACATCAAGCGAATCCTGTGTTCTGATTGGTTACCCAAGCGGGTAAGATGGGCCCACCTTCCCTCCTCGGGATTTCCCGCTTTGATTCGCGTATGAAAAAAATAATTAGAACTACGTTCGTAATTCTTGGACAATTTCGGCAATGAAAACGCAAAAAGCGGCAGAAAATAGTCAAAACAAAGAAAACAGGAACGACTCTCGCGAGTTTGTTATGCAACAAACACAGGTGGCTTTCTTTCCCGGCCCTCGAAGTAAAAAAGTCATTCTTAATTTTTTAATAAAGCGAAATATTTTTGCAATATAATAAATCCTTTATCAACCAAGCTTGTTCGGTCAAGATGGCTGGTTGTTAGAAATATTAGCCCAATTCAATTTTCACATTTTTATGAACTTCTACTTCGTATACGTCCACAAAAATGCCAAAAAAGAACTCGGCCATTATCCAGCCATCTTGACCTCAAGCTTGGTTAATAACTCATATTTATTGCAACATTTCTGTTTCAGCAAAGCTTTTTCGTGTTTTAAAGATCACCTGGATTTCTTGAAACTACTCTGGGTACAAAATGGCAGCTTTGGTTGGTGGATTTAGTAAGGAAATGAAGGCTACTGAAGAAGTGCAAAAGATTGTCGACGAGGTTTGTTTAGAACTCGTTAACTATTAGCAAGCGCGAGACATACAGCACAGGAGCACCAAGAGTACTGTGTGTGATTTTGGGTTCTAAAGGTCATTAACGGAAATACCTAACAAATTAAGATCGAATTTTAAGCGTAAGGCCAAGCTCAGTCAGCCGATTTCAGAGTTTATCCAGTTGAATAGTAGCACAACAAGCGTTTGCAAAGAAAGTCGCCAAGAACGCGACAGAACACCTACGGAAAAAAGGTAACGAGACTTCACATGTTCTATTCCTCGCTTTTATTATGCTTTTTAACGTTTTTGACTTTTCCTTTTTTTAACGGCCCACGCCTACGCTTAGAATTAGATGTTAGGTATTCTCGTTAATGACCTTTAGACCCCAAAATCGCACACAGTATGCTTGGGCAGCCTGTGCATCCACACTAGCAAGGAGTATAGTGCTCGTTTCCTCTCGTTATTATGGCGAATCCAGATCTT